GTTCCACAAATAAACATTACGATAACACTGCCAATATAAAAATAAACACTTCGCAATGGCGGACAATTAACAGGCAATCGACAGGAAATCGGTAGCAGCTAGCCTGTAGTTCACTTTATATAACGCTCTGTAATCGTGTCAGCACTTGCATCTCGGATTCTCAACCCGATCCTTGCAGACAATCAATTAACGATACATATACGCGATAATGGCCGACGATGCTTGCTAGAGTTAAAATCGAAATTATTCAAACGACGCCCAATTAAATATCTACGTGGAATTCGCAGCATCGGGCGCAGAGCGAATTAACATATTAACTACAGATTAGCGCGCTCAACGCGAACTCTATGAGCTTTCCATCGCGTATCTCCAAATTTTATAATCTCAATAAACATTATGGCTTGTTATCCGATCCTTGAAATACATGACTCGGATTATATAGATAACTGTTTAACTATGAATAGTCGTTTAAAGTGCATTTCATTTTTATGGTGGGACGACTATCTCCATTGGTATTTTGTCCACCTTTTAATATTTTAGAGATAGATGGAAAAATCGTTGCCTAAGTGGAAAAATACGGCGTGCTGTGAAATGTGAAACCCAAATATATGACAGACAACCTGTCATATATTTAGGTTTATTACGCTCAAGGCGTAGCTTAATCTTCAGTTAATCCCTAGTCACTTAAAATCACACTAAAATTGGTGGAACGTTAAAAAATTAAGTCTATCCCATAAATAGTCAATGATGTCAATGCTCGTAAGAACAATGATAGTTCTGTGTTCGTGTGCACCTTAATTTTATCGCATTCGTTCAATCCGAGTGCAAACCGATGCAACAATTATCGAAATCGTTAATCGCTTAAACAAGTGTTCGACGGTCTCATAGGGCCTTCACAATATTTATTCAACGTTTAAAACTGCCTCCTGTTGTATATCACTTACGCCCCGCCTCTACGACGCCTGAATGAATGAATGAATGAATTCCTCCCAAAGGGCACGGCACGTCTTAAACGGTTCAAACGTGACACACTTTTGGCTACCGTAGAAAATGTCAGTGTACTAATATAAAAATATCCCATTAAGTCGAAGTTGTGAATAAATGCAACATGGAGTTCTAAATAAATTGTTATTAGCACGCCATGGTTTGTGTAGATATATAAATTAATTTTAATATAAACTTTCATTATTACATTTTTCATTAAAAGTTACATTTTCATCAAAAAAAAATTATTCCCGTGTTGGAATTTAAGAAATCATAGCTGAAGAAACAGAAGGGACATAACGTTTTCCAACAAAATTGAATATAATGTATAGGCATTATGTTTATTTACGTATATCCAAATATTATTTCAAATAAAAAGACACAGTTCTTTCAAGTGATAGAAATTTTAAAATAGGTTAATGACTAAGGAGATTACTTGCTACATACCGAAGAGATCAGAAGATTAACACGTTTTATTTTAATATTAACATAAATGATATAATATAGTTATACAAATTGTAAAAAGACATTAAAGCGGAAGATATAGAGAACCAAGTCGATGAGTTAACCTGAATTAACTACAGTTGGTCGGCATTTTGACACCCTCCAGATATTTGCGAGAGTTTAACTTATATCCGGAATCGTGTACGAATTAACCACAAAGTAAAACCGCGAGGAACTCGAACTGACTGAAGAGACATTTCGGAAATTTATCGTGAGCTTGCCACATGGCGAAAATTTCAATCTACCTACTAATTAGGAGATTCTGCGTTTCTTCGTTTGTAAATATGTCACCGTTTTAGTATGCATAACGAGTTAAGGCGCTGTATGCAGTGAATTTTTAACTATTTGGGTGGTGAAGTATGAGGAAGCGGAGGAGGGGTAACGCCGCTTAGCGGCGCGCAGCGCGCGAGTTTTGACGGCCGCGCCGCTAGACCATTCATAACCTAGTGTGTAGTGATGGGCCGTAGGACACTATCGATAGTATCATGGAAGACTGTTGAAAATGTACACAGATGGTCCCTATAATATCTTTTATAGACCATGATTATATTTTACTCTTATATTATTATAGGAATAGTAATAAACAAACAAATATAAAGTTTGAGAAAGCTATCAATAATTTTAGAAAATCTACCTATTAATTATTTTAAATTATCAGGAAACGGATTAAAATTGATAAAAAATAAAAATGTTAAATGTAATAATAAACATGTTAAGGTCAAATAAATTAATAAAGGCAAATGACATTTCTTACAACAAAACAATAAATAAACGAATAATTATTTATTTTGATTTAAAGTAAAATTTTCTCATAAAAATTTTAAGCAATTTCATAGTATCCTCGGCAGAAATTACGAATACTTTTTTATTACATATTTTCTTAAACTTTATATCTTTAATTTATCCTTTAAATGTGAAAGACTTACTACGTTATATTAATTCTTCAATGAAATTATTCTTTAAAAAATTATCGATAAAATTCCTTATATCGATAAACGACAACAATTATAACTAGAATCGAAATATTGTTCCCTTCCGCAGACATCGTGTAGCCTAATGGTCCGAGCGTCATGGTTGATACACCTTTTTCCAATTTTAATTTGTTAATCAATTAATTATTTTGTTGTTATTTGATAAAATGTGGAAAATACAAAAATTATAAAACAATTATTTTTCGTGTTCGTAAAAGAATAAGTTTCGTTTTAGGGTGAAAAATTAAATATTTTAATAAAACAAATTAAAAACAACATACAATATAATACTTGTTAAAAATTGTAAATAATGAAAACTTGGTTTATTATCTGATAGATTGTTCTCTAACTGTTGCGTTCTACGTTCAACAAATACAATAACATTTCGTTGTAATTATTTATAAAAATAAAAAAAATCAACAAAAATTAAATGGTAAATTAAAAAAAATACCTACAAAAAGAAAATGACCAAAAAATATAACAAAGAAAAATGTAGGAATTTGAACCCAATCCCTATAGAATGATGGTCCTTTACACCGTGTTACCAACTGTTCAAAAATAATACTCCTAAAACAATTCGAAAACCGACTAAAATTTATTAAAAACAAACAAAAATTTCTAAATTTAAAATCAGGATTTTTTTTATATTGTAGGGAAAGGCAAAATAATTATCTGATAAAATAAACCATGGTCAAGAACATCAAATAAAACGTAATTCATTTGAAATGAATATGTTAAAAATAAAATCAAAACAATATTAAAAAAAATTATTAGAATACATAAAATATTCATACCAGACACATAGGCCTTGGCCTGACGTCATCCAAAGCAGCACTGATTTTTTTTTAAATAAGTTGTTTTGTGCAGTTTTTTCGAAAATGTGAATAAAATTTAACTCCTAAAAATATTCCCATAAAAATTTACCTCCCAATAAACTTCCATTCCACATTTTTTATTCCTAAATTTCGGAAGAAAATTCCTAAGTTGGCATCCCTGCCTTTACATTGTTTGTATAGGACTGATAAACTTATCAATGACAAGATAAGATATTGAAAAAATTACGCTTTAGTTGTTAATTCATACAAATAATTAAAAATACGAAATATGTGAATATATATTTTTTAGTTTCGTGTTTTTTCGAAAGATCTAATAAAATTATAACCCTCAATAATAAATAAATACGGAACATATTTCGTAACGGTGAGCAGAAGACGAGCGGCATAGATCCATCTAGCAAGGCGCCTCAGCGCTCTCTGTTCAACGTGTGGAGTTGGAAGAGAGCCGAAACAACGCCGCGGTGGCGCGGTGTTTTGCCCATCGCGTTCGAATTAATTTTAATGAATTAAATTAATATTTAGAAATATCTTACATCAATCAAAAAATTAAAACAACAATCCTTTTTATTAATATATTCTACACTCACTGATATTAATTTCATTAAGATTTGTTGATGTATTACGTTCATTTTTGGTTTTGAATTTCTCTTTTAGAGGTAGTTTCATGATTTTTTTCTATCGAGAAAATATATCGAGAATATGTTTTGGAAACAAGGTCCCCATAGAATGTACGATCAAGATTAACATATATTTTTTTTGCTGCTATAAAATGTGTAGATTTTGTTAAAAAATCTTTTGAAGAACCTATTTTTACTGCATACAGCGCCTTAAGGAAAATATTTTCACTTAAATGAAGTGCTGTCATCAGCGTTAGGACGGTAGTTTTGCTACCTTTATACAAATAGTATAGTTTACTTGCTGTTGTTAGACAATTGCTGTTCTTAGTGAACTTTGTATACGTGTTCAAAAGTTGTGGATCAATTCAGGGCGTGGGCTTTTCCCTAAGCTTGGTCTTTAGCAACAAGAGAAAACAGTACGAAAAAGTCAGTATTTGGTTGCGATTGATTTTTTTTATGTGAAAAGTTGCCAAGCGAGTAGACGGTTCACCTGATGTTAAGTGATAACCGTCGCCTATGGACATCTGCTACAGCCGAAGGTTCTAGATGCATTGACAACCTTTTGTAAATTGGGCTCCGGCCACCTCACTCACCAGACGAAACGCGAAAGTATTGTACTCCTGTGAGGTAGTGGTACCCGGACGAGCCTGCCCATTCGTGCAACAGCCGGGGCTGCTGCGTTTGCCTACCACCGTAAAGTGTAAATGGTAAAGATTAAAATTTTTCACAGTTGCCAGGATTCCAGCCTGCGTCTTCCGGATAATGCGTGAAGACGCCTAAGCCACTAAGCCAAGCGGTCGATATTCGCGCCGCGCGAAAATCTCCTTTTTTTGTCCGCTTTGTTTTTATTGCATTTTTAGCAATGTTCAGCGTCATCTAATGTGTATCCTTTACAGCAGACACATTTTCTCATATGAAATTAATACTATTTCAGATGTCACATATGCTATTGAGATTTAACTTTTCATTTCAATACTTTGGTTATTAACCGATAAACGAATCGGTTAAAGCAAAAACTAAACTCTAACTACACGGTAATTATTGTTTCATGGGTAGGGTTGTAACGTAAATAGTTGTAATTTACTTACCTGGAAAAGGCCGTAGCTGGTGTAAGCGTTGTTGTGGTTAGTCACTTTGTCGGTCGTCCGTCCACTAGCATGTTCAATTAGACACACCCCTGTGAATTAAACATGTCACATGTGAATTTAACATGTTATATCAGTGTGTATAGAATCTTAGGAAACGTTGAGTACATATTACTTCATAGCAAATTTTTAGAATAATCTAAAGAATACCTATGTTGTAAAATTATAGTGTTTTGTGACGCGCCGAACATTTTTAGATATTATGATCACAGGACAGTACAGAATATGTATTCGTGTACGCAGACAAGAACTCTTTAAATAATTTTCATCGTTACTCCAAAGCAAGGGAAAAAACTGTGCCTTAAATAAAAAGTATGTTGGTTATTTTGTTTTGTACCCGCATCTAAATTTTGATACTCTTACATTTGGAATTTTGATACTTTACTAGAAGAGGTCAAAGAGTAAGTGGTCTCTTAGAGTGCAAAGTATAATAATATATTTTAATAGTAATAATGTCTATATTTAACATTGTTCCAAGATATTATGAAACCTCAAACTCATAGATGAACCGGCAAGAAACATGATATCAAGGTCTTAGTAACATAATTATATTTTTTTTAATAAATGTAGGGCTTTGTATGTAAGAAGATGGCGATCGAGCAAGCGGTTCACATGATGTTAAGTGATTACCGCCGATGGATATTGGGATATCCATCGGCGTATTGGTATTGTATTGGGATACATGTGAGGTTGACCTCACTCATCAAATGAGACACAAAACTACAATTTTTCCACTTCGACTTGGTTTTCTGCGAGTCCGTGGTACTTTCCCGGACGTGCTCAAAATCAGGAGCTTAAAAATATATTTTTTTTTGATTTAATAAATAAATTAGGTATAACACAAAAATGCTAATGCATTTTATAAAATCTGTTTAAAAAAGCGCACTCGTCCATAAAAGTAAGCGCGCCTTAAGTACAATCCATTTGTCCGACGCCGAGGAAAAGGCAAACAATAAATGCGATTTCATTTCAAATAAATACGAGAAATGAAACTTCTGACAGCATTAAGCCAGCGCAAACAAGGAGGTCGTTATTTAAGAGAAAGAAAAAATAACGAACATAAAAGCCGGCCAGTTGTTTAAGTAAATTAAATTCGCCGACTTCGAAATTCTTAATTCAAATAATAACATTAAGTCGCCCGCGCAAACCGAATGAATTGCTCCCGGCGACCTTTATAAGCGTTCACGCGAAACTCCAGTCGGGGGCAGATCTCCTATTTGCATAAAAAGGGGACATCATTCAGATGACAAAACATTCAGAGATCCCCTTTCATTTAAGTTTAAAATTGTTAACCGGAGCCTCCTTAATTGACACAATACAAGGACGTTAGCCGCGCCCCCCCTCTTATCCGAATTAATTCAAATTAATACAACTGCCTTAAATCAGAGGCAGACGCCTGCTGCGTCGAATTGAGGTTTCCGATTTTCATAGACGGTACTAGGGTCATCGATTTCATGCTTATAATTGGAGTCTATTATAAACGGAAAGGACGTAAAGAACGCTTTAACAAGGTCTAAATAAACTAATAAAGATTAATCTGATCTATAATAGGATTGAGGTGTTGAAGTGAAGCAAGTACAAAATCTCTAATATGTGACGACAAGTCTCGTCGTAATTAATTTTAGTAATTTTTTCTTTATAATTTTTTTAACGATAGATTAAGTTGAAATTTAAAATGTGTTATTCTAGTATCTACACATATAAGTGTCTTCACATTCTTAACTTATTTTTTTTATTTTTTGTAAATTTTATTTACTTCAATCTAAATCTAAATCTAAAAAATATTTACAGTACTAAGAAGTTCTACCAAATAGTAAGTAATAAAAAGAAACAAATTTTGACAGAATTTGTTTCTTTGATTCTTTTCCAGAGGTTAAAAACATTATTTGATATGTGATGAGCAGAAGATTCTTGTCTTACTTAAGTAAATAAATAAATAGACGAATAAATAGAGGCGAGACGCGGACTAATTTCCGATATTGTCTCTGTTCGAGAATTGAATAGTGTTTGTATAGCCAAGAGACAATTGGGCGGTGTCGGGCGTCAGATTGACGATGCATAATGAGATGCGGGGTTCCGCATGTCAAACAGAGCCTTGATGTGAACTTAAACAGATGGCCGGGGTCTTATTCCATATACTTTAGCGGATTGTAGTCGAAACTGTAATAGTTATAATCCGTCAAAGGCATTTCGCCTCGTATTTGTTTCTATTAAATATTTTATACATTTATTTTGAGATTATTCGCATAGTGTTCTTTTGTATTCAGGGTTGGGAGGAATATTTAACTATTAGGACTTTATAATTATTTTTTTTGTGAAAAGTTGCCAAGCGAGCAGGCGGTTCATCTGATGTTAAGTGAATACCGCCGTCCATGGACATCTGTTACACCCAAGGGTTGCAGATGCGTGGACAACCTTTTGGAAATTGGGCTCCGGCCACCTCACTCACGAGACGAAACGCGAAAGTAACATACTTCCACTTTTCCACTTCACGCCGGTCTTCTGTATGGTCGTTGTACTTACCAGGACAAGGCCATACCACAGTTAGTTTATTATTTTAGGTACTGTTTTTTTGTTTTCAGGGTTTCGAGTAATTTTTAAGGATTCGAACTATAAAACTTATGTATTGAATACATTGATTGACTTTATAACCATAAGATTTTTAAGCTTGCGTAGAAAGTGTACCAAATGAAATTTCGTGAAAACCAGAGTTCCAATGTAAGATATATAAGCCAAGATTGATGTTGATCTGTTGATTAAAATGTGGAAGTTACGGAATCACAATTTTATACGGGATTGTTTAATTCATTAAAAACTCGTGATTAAAAAAATCGGGTCTGTATTGGAATAGATCAATTTCTATCTTTTTCTACTGATACTGTGAATTAATTAAAATAGTTTTGCAAGTTTCTCCTGTCCACTCTAGTTTGTTGCAAAAGTCTTCTAAGCATACGATATTTAACATTGATGTTGTGGAGAAGTTTTGGAAAAAGGCGACAGAAAAAGATGCCTCAATAAATCATAACTACAGAAATATACGTGATAATATTTTGCTAGTAGAAGCGTTTTTTGGTATCACCATGTCAATTTATATATGAGTATAACGGTTGTATGCGATAAACTTTATATGATGGAAGTAGGAAGAATAGTTGTCTGTACAAAAACTCGTTCAGATATAAATCACATGAAAGGGAATACCATATAAAGCAAATATTCTTTTATGTAAGCTACGATGGACATCATTGTCATCGTCAAATACAACAACAAAAAAACGTCATCGTTGTCGAAATTAGTCTGAAGAACATTATGTTTTATTACTCTATAGGAAAAAATGGCGCTTTCTCGTTTGCTCAATGCCAGAATACGAAAATACGTTCATAAAATATTCGATTATTTGTCCGGGCTTATCTTGATCTTGATAAAGAGAAAGATGGCCCTGAGATATTTTATTGCTTTCAAATTCTTCGAGGCTTAGCAAATTATTTATTTAAATATAGAAATAAAAGGCAAAGGAAAAGATGATAAGTATTCGGTGATTTATATTAATAAATGACATCTGACAACTCCCTCTTATGTCTTACTGTAGTCATGTAATGTTTACGAACTACAATCTGCCATTGATCCTAAACTTTCATACGGTCCTCTGATTTAGGTGATGGTATATAATCTGTTCTAGATCTTGTGCAGATGAAAGTTGAAGATGTTGCCGGGGTCACAATCAGGCAGAGGGTCGAAGTAACGTCCAAAACTCCAACGAGGAATGTCTCAGGTCGTAGCTATTTGCATGAAATTGTCGTTAATGCGGTCAGGCGCGGAGCTAATGACTGTTCTGGAAACTTCCACCTTTCGTGAATTCTCAGACTTCAACCTGCCGTCGGGAATGTTTAAGATGACCTTAAAGTTGAGTTACTTTCTAAAACACGATAGTCGAGGTTGGTACGCTTCTTTTTTCTTTTTTTATGTGAAAAAGCGGCAAACGAGCTGACGGTTTGCTTGATGTTAAGTAATAACCGCCGCCCGTGGACATTTGCAACGCCCGTAGGGTTGCAAATGCGTTGCTACCTTTAAATAAAGTGGGTCCCGGCTATCTTACTCACCAGACGAAACGCAGAAGTGTAACACTTCCACAACACGCCGGTCCTCTGCGTGGTAGTGGTACTTACCCGGGTAGGCCTGTCTATTCGTGCAACAGCGAAGACTGTTGATTGGCCCTACTTAAGTTAAATAGTTCAGAATAAATAATTCCCCAGCAACAGCTTCCATTCATAACAGCGCTTAATTCACTTCAAACTGAAAATGACTTCGCACCGCCGCAGAAGCTTATAAAGCGTGTTTAAACACGTTAATGCAAAGCCGTGCGGAGTGCAGCTCATCAAACATTAGTACAGAATAATTCGCGTACCGTTATAACTATGCCATGACAAAGCACGTAATTATAATTTAAATATACAAAGCCATACGCCGCCTCAAGAGAGGCTAGCTAGTGTTGGCTGATTAACTCGCTGCGCCCGCTAATGCAACTGTTGTATGGCTCCGAGTTTGCATTTCCTAATGCCTGCGGGATTGGTTGGGAGTCTTCGTTAGTTTGCGTTAAATGTAGGTTGGATAAGTGCAGCGGGGCTGCAGGAGCGCTTTGAGATTTTAGATAGGGACGTTGTATTTAAAGTAACATTTGTCTGTCTTTGTAGCGCTGACTGCGCCTCCACGTATTCGGATCGAAAAATCCAATTTCGGTAACACTCCCTGCCATGAATACCCTGTATTGAAAAGGTTGCACTCGGCGGCGAGACGTATATGTATTGCTTTGCATTAGAAATTCTCATTCAGCAATCTTGAATTAAACGTAGATTATACTTTGTGCGTTATATTTTTACTGACTGAGGTTTCTTAAGATCTATCTTTTTTAGTGTGATCCTTTTATTCTTGAAGGGTTTTAAACATAATTTTAAATCTTACATACATTGAGTTTATACATATACTATCCGATGTACATTTTTCATATAATTTAGTGTGTAAGAGATTTTCATTTTATGAAACACTTACATGAAAAAAAAAACTATTTCACATTTGTGGTCTCAGTCCTGCGGTAGAACAATTAAGTTCGGATCTCAGTTAATTGTAGATGTTTAGTAAAATTATACCGAGAGACTTTTTAGATTGCTTGTACATAGATACTAAAAGAAAACTTAACTGTGGTATTGCCACGCAGCAACTTTTTCTGTTGCAAGAATGTGCAGGCTCCCACGGTGTTCCCATGTGTAGTTGTGTTACTTGTACTCCACAAGTACCACTACTACACAGTCCAGACCAGGGTGAAGTGAAAGTATAATACATTCTCGTTTTGTCTAGTGAGTGAGGTAGCCGGGGCTCATTTTTAAAGGGTTGTCTATGCATCTAAAACCCTCGGATGGAGGAAATATCCGTAGGCGGCGGTATCACTTAACATTAGGTGAACGGCCGGCACGCTTGGAAACTTTTCACATATAAAAATAAGTATGTAAGTATTTAAAAGCCTATACCCTTGTAGCGTAAAGACGTTAAATGCAATTGAAAACGATTTATCTAAATAACTTGGAATTATTGGTAAATATCAAAAATAGGTTAAAAAGGTAAAGTTATTGGTTGCCAAGATTAAATTGGTTACCAAGCATTGTGTCACTTTGAGGGTCGGTGTGCGCGCGCATCTTAAAAATTTTTCTCTCATAATTTTTACAAACGCGACAAAAGAACTATAACTTAAAGAGATAAACTCAAGTATTAATGAAAGTGAGCTATTTGAGAAAAATGGATCTGTAACTCACAGTTAGCTATTAAGCTTCTCGGAAAATTGTACCGTAGCAACTCTCGAGACAGCTGGCATCGTGTGAAGGTCCGAGCGTGACCACTGCAGCCTCGGATCAGAGCCAAGGTCACAATCAGGAACACTAATTTTGTCTGCTTCTCCATGGTTCTTCTCATATCGAGTTCTGTGAACAAATCGCTTTATATAAATTCAAATAGCAAATATTGCAATGCAATTATAAAAAAACGTGACAATTTCGAAATATGCGCTATTTGAATATTTAATATTTGCACACAACGTTGGATTGTGACGTGGAATATTTCTCGTAACTTAGATTTATCTCGGTAGTTGCCATCTGAAAGGAAAAATTGATATTTATTTCAGCTCCAGGAATTCCTTTATTCATCTACATTCCAAGAAAACTTGTACTTTTCAATATTTGGTATTTTTCACGTAAATGTGTAATTTTTATATTCATTTTTAAACTGCTTCTATTACAGTCAGTTCTTTTTTGTGGAAGTGTTAAGGTTATTTTGTTGACTATCTACGAGCTTACTAGTTTTAGGGTATATGTTAGTTACATGTGATTTTAGGTTATTTGAAGTACTCGTTGTATTAATTTGGTTAATATTATTAAATTGGTTTCTTAATCGAGAAAAATGAGACATAATCGATCGTGAAGAAAATGTAAATGGCCGCGTGATTATTTGCTTTTGAGAAAAATTACCTGTACCGCTTTCTTCAGGAATAATAATTTCCGAGTCGTTTGAAACTCTATAGTGTTGTAGACAGGGACTTCTACAGAGAAACGTCGGAATAAGCGTCGCCTATTTTCAAATTTGCATCCATAATTGCGCATTTATTGTTCTTGGCCAGGGCTTCCATTAACCATTGTGTGAAATCGGGATTAAAAATAAGAACTTTGTTTTATAAATTTAATTGACAGTAAGTTTTATATGGCATTAGTAATTGAATAATGAAAGGACATTATGGATTCTTTGAAAATCTCGTGTCTAACGTTTATAACATCGTTTATGAGATCGATGACACAAGAAAACCTAATTAAAACGCGATAAAGTACGTAAATTAGCTTCATTTAACAATGTATAACAATCGCGTGAAAACAAGAAATCAATACATATAGTAGATGATTGTCCGAGTGAGAAAAATTATTATTTGAACACATAATATGGTCACCCTCACAAAGGCAGTCAACGAGAGCGCAAGCGGATACGGCGCGTTTAATTTCAGTTAAGATATTTTTCACGAGGATAGAATTAGTTAAGTTTACTTAATTGCGATTTCTGTATTTGAATAAAGTGAAAGGAAATTAAAAAAAGAAAATAATTACGTACTGCTTACTTTAATGAGTGAGGCAAGAGAATTTATTTCAAATAAGATATTACGACCTTAACGCAATTCTGTCTGCCAATGGGGTAGGCATGGTTACTGATTTTTGATAGATATGATTTTTTTAGTACTTTCCGTATATTATCATATCTATAGCCTAAGAATGAAAATCATCACCTTCTGTTGATTCCCTGTGGGAATCTAAAATATCCCATGTGGAAATCCCGAAAATATATACTGAACTCTGGTGTTGAGAAAAAATCTGCTGAAACATTTTTAGAACGTGTTATGATATTGACTTTATCTTTTAAAAATAATTTTAACTTATTGTTTATTTATGAAATACAGTTTATCGCTGTTTCTACTAGCCAGCCAAATTATTTAAAAAAAACTGTAATATTATACGTCATGATTCTGTTCAAGTGAAAATATATTTTTCTAGGAAAGTTAGACTTTATCTTTAGGTAAATTATTTGCAACATACTAAAAAAAACACTAGGATTTTGTATTTTTAATGGAAATTATTAATCATGCTATTTGAATACAATTTTTATTTGATTATTTGTTACAAGTAAAATTAAAATTGATATATAAAAATTAAAATTTTGTTCAATAAACTTTGAAAGTAAATTAATGGTGATCATTATTAATTTAAGAATAGTACAAATATTGAGCTTAGTTTTCAATTAATGTTGACTAACTTAATAAGTTCCCAAGCTCTATTAAATATATTAATTTAATGCAAACTTTCGAAAATTTTCTAGACATGATTTTATTAGACAATGAATAATTTCACAAAGCTCTACTTATTATGAAAACAAAGTGGAGCTTCAACTTTCATTGTTCTTGAAAATTTTCATGGAAATTCTTTCATATTCTAGTAAGACACTGGTCGAGTTCAATACATTTAATTATTGATTGTTTTTAATACATAATTTCAGAGATTTTATTTATTGAAGTATAAATTATTTAATAACATTATGTGCCGTCTAGTAGTCTTTAGTAGTCTAATGTCGCGAGGGAAGAATTAAAGAAATATCAGATAGAGGGAAATGAATTTCGGTAAACATTTAGGCCAGTGGATGATACAAACATAAAGGGGCATATAGACAAACAAACTGTTTATGCATTTCTCATTATACTAGTACACAAAACTTATTCGTGGCGTATCTCGTGCCGGGGGCGAGTTTGGGGACACCGAGGATGTTTGCCTGGTAAATTACAGGCAACAACGCTTTGCCCGCGGCTAAAGTTACGGTTCATTGTCACAGATACTTAAAAATATACTAAATAAATACAATATATTTTATGCATTGGTAATAAATATTTTTAAGGCAGTATATAAAGTCAAATATTATTATGTCACTAGCGACCCGCCCCGGCTTTGCACGGGTGCAATGTATTATATAAACCTTCCTCTTGAATCACTATATCTAGTAAAAAAAATCATCAAGATCCTAGATAGCGACAGACAGACTGCGGGACGACTTTGTTTTATACTATGTAGTGATTGGGAAATCCTTTTTATATCATGAACTCGTCTTCTCATGCGTGCTTTATATTAAATCTATTTATTTATTTAAAAAATTATTGTTTACACCCCAAAATAAGGTCAAACAAAAGGCAAACTTAATGCTAATAAGCATTCTCTTCCAGTCAACCCCGGGAGTAGTGAAAAATTTGACGTAGGTGCAAAACGAAATCCAAAATTCTATTTTGAAAAGATAAAATAACAACAAACATATTTCATACATGTACTAAATGCAAACATGCAACATTTATCGTTGTTTAGTTTATTTTTATGACATAATATAACAATAAAACTATTAGCAAATTATTTTTTACTTAGGTTTTAATTGCGCTTAAATTAAATCCGATAAGCAAAATTTAAATTGGAATTCTGCGGCAGCGGCAACAAATTTTATGACGGTTCTATCTACACTTTTTAAGATCTCTAGTTATGTGAATGTATGAACGTATTGTATGTATAGACGAATTGCACGGTGACTGTTTATCTTCCATTTCGATTTTCCACTTCTACCATAAAGTTATTAAATTTCAGATCAGCTCGTATCTAAACGGGAAAATGGGCAACGAAACAGATTTTTGCGGACTTCGTTAGCTCCACAATATCGCGTGGATTCTCCGACGCGGCAGTATTGTCTTTTGTGCCGGCGCTTTCAGTGTGAAGTTTTTGAGCGACGCCATTCGAAGTTTTTGCGAGCGCTCGACGTGAGTTTTATATAAATTGCGTGCCACGTATTTTCATCGTTATTCTTTTTAAGCTAGTTGCAGTTTTTTTTAGAGAATATGAGTCGATAAATCTCACGATTAAGATGCTCTAGAAAACAATATTATTGCAGATAAAATTGGTAGCTTCTTTTTTTTATTAATCGTTTACCGATTAATAAATATCGCAAAACTTTGTCATGCCATTAGTGAATTTGATAGAAAATCTTGAAAAATGTCGGAAAATTGGTGAAATGATCATTTTCTTATACGAACATAAGTTATACGTTTTGAATTTCGTAAATTATAGTAATGCATCTATAAATGAGATTTTTTTAAGAGATAAGCTGTTTTTTATTCCGCTTTTGTTCAAATAAGATAATATTCAGTTTTTAAAATAAATATAATTATGAAAAGGTTTTAGTCATAATTAATGGCTATACGTGAATTCGGTTTATTTCTTCGCTGGGACCAGCCTTAGGGCTGATTCTTGATCAGTAGATGACAAAGTTTCAGAGAAAAACGACATTTACATAATTTGGAATTGTCCGTTTCTACGGGATATAATACATTTACAAATTCATGTGGGAACTTTGAGAATATGTATGATGACCTTAGTACTGTACAGTTATACGGTTTTTTACCTTCCATGAATATCGAGGAAGGTAAAAAATAAGTTATTCATTCTGTAAAGTAAACGACTCTTGTTAAAATGCTCATTGTAAATATTTTTTTAATTATTAAATAAATAAATAATTAGGACACATTTATGCACAACGTGCCACAAACTAAACAACGCTTGTACTGTGGGTACTAGATAACTGATAAACACTTAAACATACTTTTCTTTTGTAAATTAATAAATATTATAAATATATAGACAACTATATTTTTCTGGTAGTGGGGATCGAACCCACACCTTCTGGTGCAAGAGGCAGGTGCTACCCACTACGCCAATCGGATCGTCAAACATACATATTATGTCAATCGAAAAGTGTTGGATGGTCTTAAGTATGCTGAATAGATGGCGCTTTTCTAAATATGTATTGCATTTTAGAGAATAGATAGACTTCGAGATTTTTGTGGATATCCACATATGGGCCGCTTGGCTCAGTTGGTTAGAGCGATTCGGCGTGTTACCCGGAACACGCTGCAGGCTCGAATCCTGCAGCACCGAATAATTTCATCAATTTACCTAAAAAAATCTTCACCTTCGAGTTACATCTCGAGGGCAGAGACTATACTATGGGATACGTCCGGGTTAGTACCACGACCTCACTGAAGACCGGCGTGAAGTAGAAGTGTTACACTTCTGCGTTTCGTCTGGTACATGTGGTAGACGGGGCCCACTTTATTAAAAGGTGGCAACGCATCTGCAACCCTACGGGCGTTTCAAATGTCCATGGCTGGCGGTTATCATTAAACATCAGGTGAACAGCCAGCTCGTTTGCACTTTGTCCCATAAAGAAATTGTAAGTATTTGGCCACAATCACAATAACATGAGTTCCTTGAATCACAATTATGAATTACTAAGCTTATTATATTTCAATAGGGAAAACAATTCCGTAGAATATCAATAAATCAAACCAAAAATTTTACTTTAT